ACAGTCCAACCAAAAAATTTAATTTTAACCAAACTGATAATGAGGAGGAAGAAGACAATGTTCTGAAGGAAATGATTAGTGAATACAACAAAGACAATGCTGAGATAAATGTCACCCCTGTCAAGGAGGCTGAGGCAGAAGAAAATCTGAATGAATCAATTGAGCGAGAAGAGGAAATTCTTGAAGAAGATGAAAAAGTACTAGAGGAAAACAACAAGGTTGCAGACGAGGGAATTAAGGAAAAGGAAAAGTGGTCAGAGTACTACTCCAGTGCTGAAGACTCTACCTTTGAGTCCTACAAATTAGAGGCCAAAGGTAGCCCTAAAGAAGAAGAGGTTGAGGAAAATTTTGAGAGGAAGACTAGTGCTAGCGAGACTCTAGTTTCCACCCAGTGACCACTCTAAAGGCAACCCCAGTCAAAGCAACCCCTATCAAAGTAACCCCAATCAAGAGTCCTAAGAACAAGAGTCCTAAGAAGACAAGTCCTCAGAAGAAGGCCCCCACCAAGAAAAGTTCAACAAAGAATATGGTCATCAAGACAACTGTTGAAAAAGAGAAAGAACTAAAGCCAACTGAGAGCAAAGGAGCGACAAAGAAGGAAGTAAGGAAAAATAAGGAAGAGGCAATTGTTGTTCAAAAGAGTAGCAGACTTCGCGCATAACTGGTATTATCTTAGAGGCAAGCTCAGGCTTGCCCCTGCTCATCAAGTTGATGATGAGGACCCTGTCCTTACTTTAAGTTTGGGGAAGAGGCAACTTCTGACCTAGCGCTTGCCTACCATTATCTCTTTCCCGCACATTTTCCTTTTGCTATTGCTAGTTGGATATTCTTGTTTGTCTTTGATATGTTGGTTTCATTTTATTCTGGGACATGTTGATCTTAATTTGGATTTTGCTGTTTGAATGCATGTTTTGAGATAATCACCGTGTTTAATTTAGTTTTAATTTAGTCATTATGCTTGTGTCATGCATGTTATATTTAATTTGTATGTTTTTGTATTTAACTTTGCTAAAAAAAAGAATAAGTCGACTGCAACCCCTTTGATCAAGATTTTTTTTGATACATCAAAATAAAATAAGTGAAAACTGTAAATTTTTTTCAAAACAAGTTTATCAAGCTGAATTGAAGTGTTTATTGTAGAGGTTGTTGATAACTTATGCCATACCTCTGGTAGTCGGTTAAACAAGAAAAGCATTTTTGAGTGACTGATTTGCTTTGAAAATGAGAAACAAGTGAGACTGTGAGGAATCATTAAGGGGATGATCCCAAAATAAGGTTAAACCCATTTCTCAAATCAACATATTTCATTTTTTTTCCTCCATTCTTCGTGAACAAGCATTCAGGTACAAACATCAGTAGGAGACAAAACGTTTGACACATACTTATTTAACTATATAGTAAAAAGGGGACCCTGTATAGTAAAAAGGTGAAACATCATGCAAAAAAATATTAAACAAGTAGAAGCGTGGTCCTTGGTATTTCATGAAAGAAAGTCAAGAAAGCGTCAGTTAAAACCCCCTTTTGAAACCAAAAGATAACCCTTGGAGCTCAAACTTGATCAATCAGAGTTGAAGTTGGGCTAGCTTATTTCACTGAAGAGTACTGGCGTGACTGCAAGATTCATGTAAAACTCGAACACCAATTCACTTCAAATCGGTTGCAAAACTGAGTTGTGCCAATTTTTGAAATAGATCGTCAATTTAAAAATCTAAGTGTCTTGTGTCAATGTGTTTTGATCAAAGTAGGTAATGATTAGTACTTTTCTGTCAGTCCCTGTCGCATCACCTTAGGACAAACGATAATTCAAGTTTGGGAGACTGATAATTCATTTTTAGTGTGTTATTATTACCCCATTTCATTCTGTTTATGTGATGAGTTTAATGTTTATTTGATAAGTTTTAGTATTTTTAGCTTATTTTGCTTGGAGCACAATAAATGCTCCTTTTGTGGTTTTCATGTGTTTGTTGCTGAATTTCAAGGCAAGTTGAGGCATGACTGGTCTAGACAGTGTCTGAAAGAGAAAACTGAAAGGAAAATGGAAAGTTTGCTGAAGTTCATAAGAAGATAATGACCAAGAGCACGAGGATCGTGTATTTTTAGGCTTGTGTGGCAAATTTGTGCTTGGAGGAAATATCAAATCAAATGGATAATATCAATTGCACAAGAAGACAAAGACATAGTAAGATGGGGAACACCACTACAAAGCGTGCAACTTGCATCCAGACGCAGCGCCACCTGAACCTCTGCATCACTTGCTGTAACATGCTTTGTGTCAAACGCTTTGTCTCCCACTGCTGTCTGTACCTGAATGCTTGTTCACAGAGAATGGAAGAAAAATGGAATATGTTGATTTGGAAAATGGGTTTAACCTTGTTTGCATCAAAAGCCTATGATCCGCGACCTTCCATCTTTCACATGCACACCCATGCCTATAAAAGCTGACCTTAGGAATTGAAGTAAAAAGGCTAGTTTCACACACACAAACACCAAGAAAGAGGTTCAGTAGTCTTAGTAGTAATTTAGTATTATTCAGTGTAAGGTTTTGTGATAAAAGAGAGAGTTCTTCTTCTCACCCAATCCTCAACTCATTGCTGAGAGCTGACGCGACTAGAGTCTTCACTTGCTGTTTATCCAACATAAGAGATCTATAAGTTACTAATAGGTTGTCATTTATTTTACATCTTTTGTTTAAGTATGTTCCCTATCAATTTCAGTTCAGTAGTTTGTACTAATCTCATTATGAGCTAAACCTTTGTTTGTTGAGCAATACAAAGTTACTATAATATTGTCTTTATGTTAAAATGATGTGATGTTAATGTCTTATTTTGTTATGTGTTTTAATGTTATAAATCTATTTCTTTGAACGATCAACTTAAAAAAAAGTAAAAACTTGTTGTTGTGAGAGATCCAACAACAAGTGAATTTCATAGCAAAAGTGGTTAAAACAAGTAGGATATAGATATTCACCTAACTAGTTTGCTTAGTGATAAGAAACTATGACCATAAAGGATTTTCAGAATACAACCCAGACACAATTTAGGGTTATAAGTGAGATTTATAAATTTTTTCCTTTTCTCTATTAATGCATGTTTTAATGTTGTAGAGATACACATATAAATCACATTCTGACCTTTTAAGGCACAATACATTTCATCATACACACATTTTAGGTATTATGTATATTAATGGATCATAGCTCTAAGACTCAATCTCTTGATTTAACCAAATCTTCACTTATTACATTTAATTATGTGTTGTTAACAATCTAAATTTGTGTTTTTTCAAATATTACTTTGTTACCTTGCTCATGTTAGCTTTAAACAAAAATACTTACAAAAGTTCAATCTAAACCTCTTTCACTCCCCGTGGGTACGATATCCTTACTATTATCACTTGCTGCAATAAAACATACATGTATGCTTGCATGTGACACCATAGTCGTTTTTACGCACGACAATAGGACTACCTCATCTACAATAGGGGCATCTGGCTGAACCACATCATCGACAACCACCTCATCAGCAATATGTGTTGCATCTGTCTCAACTGTTGGGTCATGAACATCTTGAGCATGAACAACCTCAACATCATCTCCAGGTTGCTCAACTGATATAACCGCTCAGCTTCAGGTGCTACGAGGTGCACAAAATTCCCCCTCTCAGCCAACCGTTTTCAGTGTGAATCGGTTGGAACCACTCGTCCAACCCGTATCTGGGAAGACTCATCCTCAACAACCCTAACTTGACCCGACGCTATATCTATCGCTTTGTCTGCAATAGTGTCGTCCCTGCCTCTGTATTTCACTACGAAAAATGGAAAAAAAAGATTAATAACTACTGAAAATTTCACAAATTTTAAAATTTTTCTTATTTTTCTAGAAATTCTGAAATTTCTAAAGAAAATCAAAGTTTTTATAACTATCGAAAATTATGAATTTTTTGGGGATTTGCATGTCATTTTGTACCGCAAATTGTAAAATTTTTGGGATAAATATTTTCACAATTATCAATTTTTTTTGAAATTTACAGTACAGTCACGCAAATTTCGTTATTTATGGTAAAAATCATACTTTTTTTGAAATTTCTAATATCTTCTTAGAGAATTCAAAAATCGCATGTGGAGGTGAATTTCAAAAAATTAGTGAAAAATTTTGCACAATTATTATTGTCCATTCATATAAAATGAAGGGTGTCAGAAATAAGAAGGGGTGGCAAGTTTAAATCTCCAGAACAACACATAGTCGATCCATGAATAATTGGGCTAACATAAGATGAGCCAACAAGATACCCAAACAACAACAAACCTACGACGTACGAGGGGGCGAGTGGAACTAGTTACGCTTCCACACACAAACAACACAATTTGTTTGCAATAACACAAACACAACACAATCACCATCACCAACACCCTCTCCTATGTTCTGATTTTTCCATTATCTAAACCTTAACGCTTCTTTCGCACATTCTTTCGCTCTCTCTCCTTCCATCTTACGGCCTAACTCTGACCCCGTTCTTCACAATCAACCTATCCAATCAGGTTTTCCTCTTCTTCTCCCTCCCCAATTCTTTCCTTTCATTGATTTATCCATGTTTTTTTATTCTACCGTTACCAATTATCACTTTTAGACATTATGACTTGTTTTGTGTTGGAGCTTCAAGTGGATCTTGTGTTTTAATTGAATATTGTTTTATTGATGCTTAGTGTTATGATTGCAAAACTATTCAGATTTTTTAATAGGGAATTTGTATAGTTGTTTGCACTTGTAGAATGTGCATTTTTAACATGGTCCTTTTGCTATTGAATATGAGTGTATCCTGTGTTTTTTGAATCATGCGAAGTTGTAGAAAACAGTGAATGCGAATTGATTATTAATGTTCTAAGTTTCTGTTTGGTTATTAGACTATTAAATGCTGAGCTCTGTGTTTTATGACCACATTAGTTATCTAATGGATGCTATTCTTGTGCAGCACACTAAAAGTTGGAGAAAGGCAATAATTTCAATGTACTTGAGGAGTATACAGTGCGCAGATCGGAGATGGGCTTTGATGTTGCAACCATCAAAATACTTATTTAGGCCGAAATTCTCTGATCATCTTTGCTTTAAGTCTTTATCACCTAAGACCATCGTGAGAGAATATTCTTCACGTGGTATTATCAAAAGGGATCTCTTAGGTTTAGATTCACGTAGTCATCTTTCATCTAGATATAGGAGTACTCAGATACAAGCTTTTAGTTCTGAAGGCGATGGAAGTAGTGCAAGTGAGAATAAACAAGTACATGTTAACGGTGGAGGTGATTTGGATAAGGGGAAGAATCAGTTAGGTAAGTCTGGTGGAGACGTTAAACGCAGCTATACTCATGCACAGCTTGGAGAACAGGATCAGGAGGAATGGCTTCATAATGAGAAGCTTGCTGTAGAAAGTAAAAGGAGAGAATCACCATTTTTGACAAGAAGGGATAAGTTTAAAAATGAGTTTCTGAGAAGAATTACTCCATGGGAAAATATAAACGTTTCGTGGGACACATTTCCTTATCACATAAAGTAATTACTTGACATTCCTATTCATTAATTTTAATTGTTTTCGAAATTTTAATGGTTTCTCTTTTCTGAAATTTACTGTGGACCTATGTCGTATATTTACATCTGTGTAGTGAGCGTACGAAAAATCTTCTTACGGAATGTGCTGCTTCCCGTTTGAGACATAATAAGCTTGCTTCGTCTTTTGGCACCCGCCTTGCATCTTCAAGTGGAAGAATATTGCTTCAAAGCATTCCAGGTCAGTAATTTATTCGACAATCTTTGTCCTTGCTTATTCCGGATGCTATTGCGCAGCAGATATGACTCACTAGTTTATTCTAATTTTAGTCTTGTTTTCTTGCTCTGTTTATTCTGTCTTTTTTCATCAGGCACTGAGCTATATCTGGAAAGATTAGTTAGAGCTCTTGCACAAGATTTACAAGTACCGTTGTTGGTGTTTGACAGCAGCATCCTTGCTCCTTATGTAAGTCGCGGAAGAAATTAGAAGTCATTCAATGGTTTCTTATTATAATAGTACTGGTGCTAGAAAGCAAAAAAGACTATATCATCTGAATTTTTATGTAGGATATTATTGATGATGATCAATCGTCAGACCATGAGTCTAATGATGATAATGCAGAATCTGGGGATGAGGGTGGTCTAGAATCTGATAATGAGGATGATAATGATGCTAGTAATGAAGAAGAGTGGACTAGCAGTGCTGAAGCGAAGTCAGATTTAAGCGATAATGAAGATGCACTAGCATCTGCTGAAGCAGCCCTTAAGAAAGTTAAAGCCGCCGTTCAGAAACTTATCCCTTACAATGTTGATGAATTTGAGAAGGTAATGGTATATGCATTTTACAGTTATCCGTTTCCAAGTAATGGGATTTTTTAGCTGTATTAAAATGAAGTATTTGGTAGCCTTAGAAGCTTTTTCTGCATAGAATTATACTTGAGATATGGATGTTAAAAAAGTGGTATTCTAATGCTAGTGTTGATACATGTTTCTTTGCTAGTTGTATTAAAATTCACCCAAAGATTAGTTTTATTCCATCTACTCAACGGTTTCAGTTTTGTGCTATTTTATTACTAGCTAAAATTAATAAGTTTTATTTCTATGCTCGGTTAATATGACAGATAGACAAGTTATAAAACATAATTTATTTTCACAAGGACTATATGACAGATAGTTTGAGATCTCACCCGCACCCCATAATCTTTTGGCAGATTGTGACCGGAGATGAGAGACCCGAGTCATCGAATTCTGATGATGCCAAGTCAACGGATAAATCTGGATCTCAGCTAAGAAAAGGTAACATGTTCAGCTAGGTTGAGCTTTGATCATACACATGAGCTTGCATGTGATTTTCTACTCTTTCTACCGGCAACCTATTTACATTCTGTTTTCCCATTTGTATGGATATTCACATAACTGCGTATTACTGATTTGTTATATTTTTTAGGTGACCGCGTGAAGTACATCGGCCCTTCTATTAAATTTACAAATGATGATAGGTAATAAAACAATTCTTCCTTCTTTCTTATACCTGTAAGATAGGAGATATACTTACTTTGTGGTTCATTGTCTCCTACCAATTTCATTTTTTTGTGTTGAGACATTCTTTTGATTTAATGAAGAAAACATGTCATGCTTTTCTGATCAACTGTAGACGAACTTGCTTCCCAATTATACTTTTGCTGTTACACGTCAATATGACTGATGTTGACAAATAATTGCGGCAGACATTTTTTTAACAAACGGATCGACAATTTGATGATTGTGAAAAGAACAACAAAAGTAGTAGAAAATGAATGGAATCATTGCTTTGTTTTTCTATTCAAATAAAATTAAAAAACCTATTAGAGTGAAACGAATAAAGATAATAATGCACCGAAGGATGGTAAGTATGTTCTCAAGTAGAAAAACAAAAAGAAAACAAATATGACAAAGTAACACATGGTAAAGGTGTTCACTTTTTGTCTATTTGGATGCTGGAATATGGAATTTCTTTGAAACAGAGCCATAGCATCTAAGAAATGACATATGCACAAGCACAAATCAATTTCATAAACTATGGAATGACACGTCAGTAAAGAGACCTCTTGTTAATGCAAATATTGTACACTAGAAAACCGCATAAGTGGCATATTGGAAGTGCTATTGGGCATACTTTCATGGATTCTTATTGGCTTATTGGGATTAAATTTTGTGGAACTCAAAAGTCTGTTATAGATGAATTTCTTTATTCCTTAGTTTATGTTGTGTCATGGATAGAACACAGCAAAGGATCTTCTATTCATTTACAAAAACATTTGTTTTTGTACAAGAAGTGACAGTTGCTGTGGGCATTGTTAAGAAATGTGGTTGGACCTAATGCAACCCTACAAAATCGGTTGGTAGAGTGAGGATTACCCCCACTTATAAACACATGTTCATGTCATATATTATCCGATGTGGGACTCTTAACACCCCTCCTCACGTTCAGGACTAGACAACTAAAGCGTGGAAATAAGTGGTGGGTGGCCCGATAGCAGAAAGCATAGAAGGTGACCCACCGAATCTTAAACGAGACTCTTGATACCATGTTAAAAAATGTGGTTGGGTCTAATTCAAATTTACAAAACCGGTAGGTAGAGTGAGGATTACTTCTACTTATAAACACATGTTCATGCCATATATTGTCCGATGTGGGACTCTTAACAAGCATGATCACTATGTGCGAGTGATTATCATATCGTGCATTTTTTTCATGCTTGTTACTATGGCAGCAACAACATACATTGTTGTAGTAATGGTAATTTTGGTAATTATAGAGGGCTTGGTAGTGCTTGTTGAAAGTCCCACTTAAAATTAAGAAATAAAGATATGGCCTAATGTTTATAAGTCTGGGCAAGCCTCATCTACCAAATTGGTTTTGTGGTGTTAAGTTAGGCACGGAGTTCAAATTCTGATATGGTATCAAAGTCTATCCTAGATCTTTTGTTGGACCAATATCTCTATCATTCCACCTGCATTTGTTTGTCCACACCTGTTCTGGGATGATGTATGTTGATATCCATGTTATTCCCTTAGAATTTAGGTTGAGCCTAGCTCAATCTTAAAAAACCGACATTTTAAGGTGAAAATTCCTATCCCCTTACGCTCAACACTATTAAATTTTGATGTGTGGATAGCAAAAACCTGATAGTAGTGGCCCAATGAATCTTAGACATAAATAAGTTTTGATACCATCTTAAAATTTAGGTCAGACTAACTCAACCTTACAAAACCAACTTGTAAGAAGAGGATTGCCCCCATTGATAAACATTATGTTCAAACCATATATCATCGGATGTGGGACTGTTGACATTTTCCAATCACATTAATCCACATTTCAGATGTTTAGTCTTGGGTGTGAAGAGACATGTTGAAAGTCTCACATTAGTTTTGTGGGGTTGAGTTTGGTCCCAGCCTAAAGGTTTAGAGCGATGTTGTTGGGCGGTGGTAAACTTGACTTATATGAATCCCAAATCTAAGTTATTTTTCGGTTTCAATTGTGAAATAGAACTTCCTTAATTGCAAGAGTTCTTACATCCCAATTGTTTCCATATACTGATACTGATTTATTTCAAGATGTTAGAAACACATATCTTCTGTTTCTATGTTACGAGCTGGTGATGTGCCACAGTCCTTTAAAGAGCCAACCTTCATATTAAAATCTGGTTTTTAAAGTTAACTGATTCCTTACATTATCAAAGTGTGTATATGGTTACTTTCCATCGGATGTTTTCCCTTATTCTTTTATCTTGTTATTGAACTATTGTTTCTATTATTTTTTGAGAATCTTGTGGTTGAATTATATATATACCAATAATTGGTGAATGTTTTTACTTACATGGTTCGCTTTGCTTTTACTTGGTTACAGTAAGTTCTCGGATTATCAACTTAAGTGTGTTTGATGCAAGTACTCGGGTAGTGGGTACAAGTCATGTAATTCTCAACTTATGCACAGTAGTAGTTTTGGTGAATGTCTCTGAGCCCAGTATTAATAATACTTATGTAGCTTTGAAGCCCATATTTTGTCAAAAAAAAAAGTTTCGAAACCTTTGTTTTGAGTGAAACATGAAATGTAATAAAACTTGGACGAAAGGCACTATAAGGCAATAATGAGCAGGCTCTCTGATATTTTAAGCACTGCAGTTGTGGTTCTAGCAAAGTGGCCCCGGCTCTTTCTTGTAAAACCAATGCATCATCCCCATAGGACTTGATTGAGATACCACTCACCTGACATTGGCGTATATAATTTTATCACAGGATCAAACTGGGGAAGATACCAACATCCGATGGTCCAACTAATGCTTATACTATTTTACCTGAAAGGTGGGTATTTAAGTTTTCCCTCTCTGCAGAAGTCAAACTCCTAAGTGCCTTTCTCGCCTCTTGGCATTTTCTTAAAACAAATTTTATTTTTAATATTGAACTTTTTTGGACGGATCAAAGGCCGGCCCGAAATAGAAAGCAATTCAACACATCAAGGAATTTTATAGCCGTATGTGTATGTTGGAAATCATTGTTTATATTGTGAATCCGAGTTAGTCATTGGTTGTATATGGTTTGAGTTTTGAGCATTTACTTGTACTTTTCACTTATCATATTTAATTTCCTCTGTTATATGTCTCTGTGCCAGTCTATAGTCCAAGTCTATAGTCCGCCGTAAGTTGAACCCTGATTAACTCTCTCTATTTCTCCTTTCCCTATTATCTTTAATCATGTGAATGCAATAATAATATCTGTGCGGACAAAGACAATCTGCTTTAGGTTTCTGCTTCTATTTTGGGTGTGTGAAAGGTTTCTGCTATTTTTTGCTTTGTGATCTGATACTTACCTAATAGCTATTTTGTCGGTTGTCTACTTGATTTTCCATTGAATTGGGAGGTATATATCATCTTATTTTCTTATTTAATTGCTTTGAGGAAGTTCTATTAGTTCCATAGTGAAGTGTTGGGACAAGGAATCTGAACAATAATGGAAGAATAGATTATGCATTAGTTTGTATTAATAGTTTTTACAATTTCTAGTAGCATCTGTGGGATAGTTTGATTATTCATGTTGTATATTTTATCAGGGCAGAGGGCATACTCAATGGCTTGCCTTTTGACATGCATCTCTAACCGTGCATTTTTGTAAATCTACACTCTTGTTATTGAAATTCCAGAGGATGAAACATCTTGCCTTAAATATAATGTTGCATTGCCTTCTATTTGCATGTTACAAATTTGCAATATTCATAAATTGTGATTTTTTATACGTTGCTTCTTTGGTTTGTATGTTTTATTTTCCTGCATGTATTTATGTTTTCCATGTCTGGTCATTGGTTTTATATCGGATACTAAGGTGTAACACTAATTGGTAGTAGGACATTTAAAATTCATTTTTCTTCTATGTTATGCCACCATTAAAATCATTGTGTGGATTTCCTTTAATATCATCCAAAATTATTTTATATTGATATCCACAACATATTACATGCAAATGAGAATTATAGGTTTAGATATTCTTATAGCTTGCAGCTATTGCTTTTTTGGCCATTAACCAACTGTGCATATATTGCAGGGTTTCAACTTTAAATAATGGTCAAAGAGGAGAGGTATACGATGTTAATGGAGATCAAGCTGCGGTTATCTTGGATGATAATGTAGAGAAGGCCAATGCGAATGAGGTCGAGAACCCTAACAATGATCGTCCAAACGCATCAGTTTATTGGATAAATGGTACATTTTTCTTTTTCAAAATATTGAAAAACCTCAATTTCTTAATTAAAGTCGGCTTTGTTTATTTTCTATGTTTAGGTGATTGTTAGGAAACATTTTTATATATCAAAGGTTCAAGTAGTAGTTTCCTATGAAGCACGGACACCCCAAATACGACACCGACACGACATCTTCAATAATAATTTGAAAACTGAATAAATTAGAGGTAATTGCAAGTGTCGGTGTAGGTGTCGGTGTAGGTGTCCGACACGGACACACACACACACACACCATTTTTTAGAGGTGCCGGTGCTACATAGGTAGTTTCTATTAGAGGGCTTAGAGAAAGTTTTCAGAACATTATATTTGAGGAAAATGCTTGTTGGTACGAAGATCAACAAACTGTTTATATCCTTTGGATGAAAGCATATATAGCACCGTTTTGTTTCTTTCCCTCCCATATATTTTTATCCAACCGCTGCTCTATGTTTCATTGGGAAATTAGTCGTGCTATATAGCACTTATCTATATTTGATTGCTACAGCTATTCTGATATAAGTATGTAAAGTTTTTTCCTCCCTTATGGATTGTGAAATATGTTAATTCTCCTGGCTATAAGCAAACTAAGATTTTTTTAAATTAATTATTTTTAACAGTCAAGGACATTGAGAATGATCTTGATGCTCAACAACAGGATTGCTACATAGCTGTGGAGGCTTTATGTGAGGTATAGTGCTCTGGTAATTTTCTATTTTTTGAAATCTCATAAGGGGATTGAAATATTTGTTGATGATAGGTCACATTCGAATATTGCTTTTGCAGGTTTTGAATGCCAAACAACCTCTTATAGTATATTTTCCGGATAGTTCACAGTGGTTGCATAAATCACTTCCTAAGTCAAGCCAAAATGAGTTTTTTCAAAAGGTTGAAGAGATGTTTGACCGGTTATCTGGCCCTGTAGTATTGATTTGCGGGCATAACAAAGTTCACTCTGGAACAAAGGAGAAAAAAAAATTTGTAAGATTTAGTTGTAATTTTTCCTCATGAATATATCCTAAATATCTGACTCTAATGCATTAATTTCATTTATAAAATAATATCATCTTAATTAACTTTCCTCCACGTTCACATGCGCTGTTTAACAGACGATGATAATTCGACGTGTTTCTGACCTGGTAATGCTTTCTATCTCTACAAATATACAAATTCCTTTAAATATTTCATGTCTTATATTGCTTTTCATGTTACCATGCAGTTGACGTTTGTTTGTTATCCTAATTCCTTATCTATTCTTCATGTCAATTTTATGCCGCCTAAGTGCAATTGTATTCTGTCCTGTTGTTTGTCATCATTATCAACTGTTGAATTGAATATGGACTAAGAAATCAGTGGTTATTAATAGAATCATAACTACAGAGTTATGGAAATCACCAAATGACTTTTTGGGATCCTATTAACAAATTCATTTTCATATTTGCTTACAGCCTCTTTCTTTGAATCACCTGGGTGATGGATTTAAAGGGGGAAAGACATCAGAAGAGGATGATGACATTAACAAGCTTTTCTCTAATGTTTTGAGTTTTCATCCACCTAAGGTAATTGTTTTGTATTTCATGCACATAAGGTAATCATGATGAATCAATCAATCACCAAATGCAATATTTTTATCTATACCACTATGAGGTACTAATAATTTGAGGGTTCTGACACATGGCAAACACCATAATATTAAATGTTAAAAGTTTAAACATCTTAGTACACCATCTCCACCAATACTGTTTAAACAATAGTAACATTTTCACAAATTCAATTGGCACTTGCAATTCTTCAAGAAATTAAAACAGAAGTCATATATTAGTTTAGCTATCTATTGGATTTGTGTTTCCTTTAGTGTTGTAGATTGAGAGTTATTAAGCTTTTGCACGTTCCGGAATTAAGAATGACTATATTTGTTATATTTGCTCTGTTTATGTCATGGGTTCATATGATATTCTGTATGTCACAGGAGGAGAATCTACAGGTAGTATTCAAAAAACAACTCGAGGAAGACAGGAAAATTGTGATTTCACGTAGTAATTTGAATGAACTACGAAAGGTAATTCTCAGTTTTCTGAAGCATTTATTGTTACTTTGATGATGTTTGGTGATTTATGTATGCGTGGTTTAAAATGTCTATTTTGTCTGAATAAAATTGTCATACTTCAATTTTGATTCTTGTTTATTTCCCCCCCATTTTTATTCAAATAAATAAAATAAAAAACATGTACTTTTAATCTCTGGTGACTGGCGAGAAACTAAAGTACACTATTTTTGTTATTGCATGGACACCAAATATAGTTTACATAGAGATATCAATAGTAACCTGTCCTTTTTATAGAGGCCAAATATATATGTCAAGTGTGTCACCGGAGTATGTTTTCTACAAATGCTTTTTACACCCTCGATATTAAGCATTTATAGTTGGATTTTCATGTTGCAGGTTCTTGAAGAAAACCAGCTATCATGCGCTGACCTCTTGCAAGTGAATACTGATGACATCATTTTAACAAAGCAAAGTAAGAGATTGTAGTTAATTTAAAAACTGTTTCACTTGTGATCTTGTAGGTGTACCTTCTAACATTAAGTGGTTGAGCTGGAACTCTTGAAGGAGTTCGAGAACGAGGGCCAGGGCTCAAATACTGGACACTAAGATAACATACTAACAACTAACATTTGTCTGTAAAAGAAGTTCCCTAAGAGATACTGTTAAGGAATTAAAAAAATCGGAAGTATTTTTGAGAAATGCAACATTTAGTACATATGTTTTTTTTAGCTAAAAGCTTTATTTTTTCACTCAGTACTTATACTTTCGAATCTTTAACAAGTTCCCTATATAGGCAATAGTTAATATTTTCCATCATCAAATTTTATGTGCTTACTTTCATTATGTGTCGTTAAATTTGGTTTTCAGAAGCTGAAAAAGTGGTAGGCTGGGCAAAAAACCATTACTTGTCGTCATGCCTGCTTCCTTCTGTTAAAGGAGAAAGATTGTGCATACCTTGTGAAAGGTATATGTGTAAATCCTATCATTCTATTGTATAAATGTTATCAGGCAATTTTTTTTTGATAAGCAATCAAGCAGAATTTTAAGCGCATTTGTTTGTTCTTTCCCTTTTGTGTAGTCTTGAAATTGCAATCTCAAGGATGAAAGGCATGGAAACTATGTTACGAAAACCTTCTCAGAACCTCAAGGCATGTGATGGTTTATTTTGCTGAACTTATAAATTATAAGTGAATGTAATAAGTGCTTTTTTATAATCTTTTGTTGATTTTGATCACACAAATATTGTAACAGAGCCTTGCGAAAGATGCGTATGAGAGCAATTTTGTTTCATCTGTTGTACCTCCTGGTGAAATTGGGGTGAAGTTTGATGACATCGGTGCTCTTGAAGATGTTAAGAAGGCACTTCAGGAACTTGTTATTCTTCCAATGAGAAGGCCCGAGCTTTTCACTCGTGGAAACCTGTTGCGGGTAATTGTCCTTGGTTCTTGTACGCATTCTGAGTGTAACCAAATCAGTTTTGTTCTCTTATTTTGTTGTGTAAAACATTTGAGAAAAATTTTCAGCCCTGCAAAGGAATATTGCTTTTTGGTCCTCCTGGAACTGGGAAAACTCTTCTGGCCAAGGCACTTGCAACAGAAGCCGGTGCAAATTTTATCAGCATAACTGGTTCGACCCTTACCTCAAAGGTAATTTTGATTATGATATACATGCTCGAAATGAATTTAACAATTTTTTTTTGCTTTTGGTAGAGTCCAATGGCATCAATTGATCCACATGTCTAACTCCACCTAGTGAGATATTTTTCAAGAAAAAACAAAACATAAAACCAATTGACTCAAAATTGCAGCACAGGAGTCCAATCTCCTTTCGGACAATGTGCCCATGCATTATAGCTAAAGACACAAACTTGTTTGATAACAAGGAAACAAGAAACTGTTGAAAGCTTCACATTCTTTTCCAGTTAAATACACTGAAGAACTTGCATAAATTGTTGCCAAATATTTTTAGCATAAAATCAGAAACAGCTTAGCTGGAAGGACACACCCATAAGATCTTAGCTTCCTTACTATGCAAATACTGGCTGACTCTATTTGATTGTAGACCCTAACATTTACATGATTACAGCAGTAGGACTTTGTGAGTTCTCATAGTCTATAGCGTGTTATTTGTATTAGTCCTATGAAGTACAGGTCCAACAACAAATTGACAATAGGGAAAATTTTAGACTTCCAAGTGGATTAGTCCTATGAAGTACAGGTCCAACAAAAAATTGACAATAGGGAAAATTTTAGACTTCCAAGTGGATTTGTCCTATGAAGTACAGGTCCAACAAAAAGTTGACAATAGGGAGAATTTTAGACTTCCAAGTGGATTTGTCAATACAGAAAGATTAATGATTATGAGAATGGAATGTTTTGAGCATAAATGACTAAGAAAACACATTTGGAAAATTTAAAGATGATTATACTTGAGTAAAAAAAAAGCTTACAAATAACTAGTTTTTTGCTAGAGTCAATCAGTTTGGGTGTGGGTGCAGGGGTGTACCAATTTTGTTGGGATGTACGTCTCGTCATCTTTTGCTTCACTTTAACTTTTTTTGCTTAAAAAAATTGTCCCTTTGAGTTTTCTCATTAATTTTGTTATATGACTTGTTCCTGTAGTTATAAAGGTGCATGAGTTTATGTGATATCTTTATTTATTTGTTTCTTTGCTGATACAGTGGTTTGGAGATTCTGAGAAACTAAGCAAAGCACTTTTCTCATTTGCCAGCAGGCTTGCACCTGTCATTATATTTGTTGATGAGGCGAGTGTCTAAATGCATAACTTCTCTCATCTTTAGTTTTGCTTTTATAAACATGCATGGTTTTCTGGATATAAAATGTACTTTTTGAAAAAAATGCAATTCAAGAATTTCAATATTACTTAAAGTGCAACTTTAAAGACTAACAATGTCTATTTTCCTCAGCACGAATTAGAAAATTGATTTCTGGCTAGAATCCGTATTGTAGGTTGACAGTTTGCTTGGTGCTCGAGGTGGTGCTTCTGAGCATGAGGCCACTAGAAGAATGAGGAATGAATTCATGGCAGCATGGGATGGATTAAGGTCCAAAGAGAATCAAAGAATCCTCATTCTTGGTGCAACAAATCGGCCATTTGACCTTGATGATGCTGTTATCCGTCGTTTACCAAGAAGGTTAACTATAAGATTTCGCTTATAAATATTGGATGAAGGGATATTGGACCTCATCTTCTGTTCAATTATTGCATTTTTGAAAGTAGTGAAAACAATGTGACACTTTTGTAATTATTGGTGAAAGCGGGAAATACTCAAATCGATCAAGTCGGGTCTTAAGACTCAAAGTTACAAGTTATAGGATTTTTTTCCCAAAAAAAAAATTATACCCACACAATCTTAATAAGTAGATAAGAAAATGAAGCATGCTAAATGAGGTAAATACAAGAAGTCCACCTTCTTTGCTAACTGTGCTTGTATTTTTGTCTAGGATCTATGTTGATTTACCCGATGCTGAAAATCGAAAGAAGATTCTAAGAATATTTCTTGCAAAAGAAAATCTGTACTCCGATTTTCAGTACGACGAACTTGCTAACTTGACCGAAGGATACTCTGGCAGTGATTTGAAGGTAGATTGTCAAGTGCAACCGAGTAGAAACTACTATTTAAGGCACCACTATTCTTGATCATGTGAGGGATTGTGTATGTGTGGGGGGTAGAGGCCCATATTTTACCTCTCGTCCCTCTGATTCCTCACATGGTCGAATTTTATTCTCTTATGTATCTTTTGCTGCAATTAATAATATTCTCTGGTTATCCGCTTCAAGTAATATATCTCATACTACTTCATGGTTATATTTGGCAGAACCTCTGTGTTGCTGCAGCATATAGACCTGTTCAAGAGCTTTTAGAAGAAGAAAGGAAGGTATGGGGATTATAAAATTTGTATTCCTTAATTGATAAACGTGTAGTAAATACAAGAAAATTAATGATTTGGATAGAAGCATGATCCTGGATAGAACATTATGGTGAAAGTTGATCCATGTAGCCGATCCTATTTACTGGGATAAGATTTGGTTGGCGTTGTATATATAAAAAAAACTTCACACTCGTGTCACCATATAATCTAATTTGTTTGCTTGCCAACTAACATGAATGCTATCTTTTGGCTTTACACAGAGAGACAATGATACTAAGAATTCAGTATTAAGGCCTCTTAAATTGGAAGATTTTGTGCATGCAAAATCCAAGGTATGTAAAAATTTATTTGTTATGTTCCTATCTGAAATAAAAATTGTGCAACACATTCCTTCCTATTCTTAGTTTTCCTAATGTTAAATGACCTGACACGTTAAAATGCGTAGGTTGGTCCATCTGTTGCGTACGACGCAACAAGCATGAACGAGTTGAGAAAGTGGAACGAAATGTACGGTGAAGGCGGTAGTAGAACAAAATCACCATTTGGATTTGGGAGCTGATTTTGAAGGAAGGGTTCTATTCTATTACTAACTTTTCAGCAATGCTTCTTATATCAAAGCAATATACAGAAGTAAACATTGCAAAGGAGCACTATAGATAGAGATTTCACTTGACACTATTAAATGGCCTCTGCATTTTCCAGCAATGTATTCCCCTATTCATATGGTTTCAAGGTGAATTTTCCCTATGTTTTTGCCCGGAAATAGAGTAGTATAAGTAAATACTATACTATATTTGTAATGAAATGTAGGCAGCCTCTAATTTTTGTTTAGGAGTATATAGCAATAGGGGTAATTTCCCCAACTATTTTTCATGGTAGCAATGTTTAACAATCAAATATCTTTGTATGAAATGGTCAAGATGCCGTAACTTCCTCGTTGAAATGCATAGTGAAATGGCAAGTCTTTTGTGCATCTTCATTCAACAGAATCCAAGCCATCAACATCTTTAGGCATTCGGAGGGAACACAATGCTACATGGCAGTTGGATAGTAATGAAGTTCATACCCAATCTGTTGTGTTTGTAGGGTGCTTCTAATAGCGAGAGTAGTGTCAATAAAAGGTTGAGTGGAAGTTAACATGAGAGAAGATCCACAAAGAAACTTATCCAACCATAATTTTATATGGGAATTTCTTATCCTATCTTATGGGATGAGAAACACCCTATGAAAAGTTTAAAATGTCTTAGATTTAAAAAATGCATCTTCCGACACATCTTGTCTTAAGTCAAAAAGTTAACTCATCTGGAGATGTATCTTCAAATTTTTTAACACATCTCATGCATCCTTATTTGAAAAGTCCATTTTACACGCTAATTGTTTTAGAGATGCATCTCTGTTTAGGGTTTACGGAGATGCATCCTTGTAACATATTAAAACAATGCATGTTATGTTAGTTTTATAGTTATTTAGATGAAAATGAAGATTTATAAATGTTAAGGACACTCTCAAGTGATGAACATTAAACTGTGCAATTGATATGCAAAAAATCACATGTATAAATGAAGTCGTTAAAAAAATGGCATATATAAATGAAGTCAAAATACATAATAAAGTAGAAATAAGTCAAAATAAATACAATCGATATAAATCTAAAGATGAGAGAAGTTACTATTGCGCATGTCGGACTATAGCTCTGCGGGCTACTATACCCCTTCATACCCATCTGTGCCTCTTGTGCCTTCGTCATAATAACATCTAGGACCTGCCTCACCTCATACCCATAAGTGAAGATACCTTTGTAAATGTTTGTCTATGTAATCTCCACAATACGATGACATCTAGACAAGACATCATGAACATGATTTAACTATGTCTCCTCCTCTAGTATCTCCTGATGAGCTGACCTCATTGGTTCTTCTGGAGCAGCCTGCGCCATATACGAATGTGACACCCTGAAGAACCATCTAATGTAACCGTTGACATAGTTTTAGTCACTCTCAACTATGGTACTCCGTGTCTTCTCCGATACAAGATGATTAAGATAATCATCAAACATGTCATCCATATCTCTACGTATAATAGCAGGAGGAACAAAGACAACAAGGTGTTTGGAAATAGTCTCAGTGTAGTTGAAATGCCAAATGACGCGCTCAGGAAGATGAAGAAACGTGAGACGTGAACCGTAAGCCAATCATGCAGAGTATAACACTATGTCGTCAAATGGCCGCATCTCACGGTGATCAACATAGCTTTTAAAGTGCATATCCCTGACAACCAAGCAGTTAAGATACACTCTAAATGACTCTGTTGTTTGGTTTCCTCTAAGTGGGGAAAATGCAAAAGCATGCGATATATCCTTAGTATAAGTCGGTACACACGACCAGTTAGAGATGCGTGAGAAGTGATGGAGGATTCAAGTCAGAAAAATGTAAAAACACACATATCCTTAATAAGGGTGTTGCAAAGATGTAATGAAAATGACATATACACTAAAAGATCAATAAATATTACCGTCAGTAGTGTGATGCTGTCTGTGATCTGTTTCGTCTTCCACCTACAGCCCCTTAATAACTTCGAGTACAAGTAGACCAAACAAGCGGCCTCTCCATTGTACTCGTGGATCCGCTCGAAGTTTTCGAAGTACCGTAGGTATACAAAATCTACATAAGTGATACTCTTGCCCCACAAAAATCATAGTGCTAACAAAAAATAATAGATATGCTCTCATAACATACGCTATATGGAGCTCCACCTGCTCGTCATCACCTCTAGCATGCTCTGCTCTAAAGAGCTCATATGTATATATCTTCTTCAAGAATTCAAATCTAGCATGAGCCCCTCTGGTTTTTTCATTTCCCTCCTGACATCCTATAGGTCAACTCCAAAATAATCTACCATCAACTTGAGTGTCTCGTCTTTGCTAGTACTTCTATGCTCTAAAAGTTTCCCTCTGTCTTTGCTATTACTTCTTTGCTAATACTTTTAAAAAGAATGAATCCAATTAATTTTACCTCTCTGTCCTATATATGTTTGGCAGTATGGTTCGGGTACAGAGGCAACAATGACAACTCTACAGGGCATCCACCAAATGTCCGAGGTGTCACTGGCTCATCAACCTCAATAGCCTGATATGACACTGGCTCAGCAGCCTCATCAGCCCGAGGTGGCAAAAATTCATCAGCATGTGGTCCCTCCGGTGCCTGGGGTGACACTAGTGCCTCAGGTACCTCTAGCACCCGAGTAGGTGAAACCTGTCGCCTACGTGAAGATGGAGGAAATAATGCGCCTGTAGGTGACACCTGTTTCCTATGGGAGGAAGAAGATGGAGAAGCACGAGTTCTATAAGTCGATGCCTCTGCATGAACCAGGCTAAAGTGAACATAAGCCTCTAAAACCTCCCTCTTTTTCCTAAGGACGGATGCATATTGTGCAATCCTCCAGCACCTCAGTCTATCGTCTCTATCAGGCATAATGCATATAAGTAAATTAGACAAGTGCCAGACAAAGAAAAAAAAAGAAGATAAATTACTAAGATACATCTCTGGCTACTGGAAATTTAAACGTTGAAAAATTTCAGAGATGCATCTCCAGAATTTCCTGTTTCAGATTTGTCAATAACGATAATGCAGACCACCAAACCCCTAAAAATAATGTTTTGATCATTATTTTTTAACCATCAAACATGTTTTTATGGATATATAAACTATCATTCATGTAAAAACTATCTATTTCTTACCTTAATCATCAATTTCTACTCATTTATATAAAAAATCCTTTTTAAAATTAAAAACTTACAAATTGAGAGTTTACTTCCGTGTTGAATGATGTCTTTGATGTAGTTGATGTTGATGGAAGAAACTTTGAACTTGGTTGATTGATTTTGAAATAATGTGACTTGAGAGAGTTGAGAGAATATTTAGAGTGTTTTTTTTTAAAAAATGAGAAAGGAGAAGGGTTCTGATGCGTTTTAGAACCATATCATCTGGAGATGGATCTCCGAAATATATAAGAAGATGCATCTTTAGAATTTTTTAACGATAAGTCAAAATTCTATTTATTTATGGTGCGTTTGGAGACACATATCTGAAAACTGAAGAAATTTTTATATTTCCACATTGTCCTAGTAATATATTGAATACATTAACAAATTTTCTTTTATATTATTCCTATTTTCCATTTGCCACACGATGTCATTTCAAATATGATCTAAAATACATGTTAAATCTTTCTACATCAAAGAGTCTTAGGGTTGATAGCTTATTAACAAAAGCAATCATTATGTGTCATACTTAAAGTAAAGGTCATGACACCAGAGATCACCATGTCTCATAATCATGTAAACCTAGTTTATTACAAGAATACATGGAGACTAAGCTAGTACTATTTAGATACATAATTTTAAAAACTTATGGTGGTTTCAATCACCTTAGTTGTCAAAATTGAATTTGTTCGGATAATATTATTGAAATAAACTAATTTTAAAAAATATGGTAGTTTCAGCTACCATATTTCTCAAAATTGAATTTATTTAAATAATATTATATGGACAAACATATAGGATGCATTGAGATTTTACTTAATAATTTTAAAATTTTATAAAGTTTGTGAAAAACATATAGGGTATAAGAGTGACCCCTTGAATTAAATGAGAAAGATGGATTAGCCCCCTCAATAGAGCCCAGAAAAAACATTATATAATGGACCTAAAATAAACTCCGTCAACATATTTTGCTTGAATAAAACCTAATCAATATGATTTATTGAGGATTGCTTACTGTAGTATTTCTCTCAAACTTTATGAGTTTTAATAATTGTTCATCTCACACTCTTTCAATTTTGAAATTTGGACGCACCACACAATATATTAGTTCAAGTTCTCCGAAAAACACACAACACATAAATAGAGATGTCTAAATATTTTTATGCAGATGCACTACACATATGTCAATATCCTGACACACCATAATATCCAGAGTGAAATTTGGATAGTCACGATTCCTACCTTACCGTTTCTTAAACCCTTTCACTCATAATTATATAGCATTTTCCTTAAACCCACCCTTTCACTCATAATTATGTAGCATTTTCCTTAAACCCACATAAAAAATTTGACATTTCTATTCAATATTTTCGCTTACAAAAAATTTCTACTGTATTTCATTTAAAAAATTATAATTATCTAAAATTATATGTAATAAACATGTCTATCATTGATGGTCAACGAATAAATATGTTTTTTTTCTTCATCATGAATATCGTCTAGATAGTAATATCTAGACATATTTAGAGAGTGAAACCTAGATCTTTGGAATGGGTAATTGAACTGTTTTATATTTCCTAGGTTGTACATATGATGCACCATGATGTTGTCAACAAAGTTAATGCATTAAATGATAGTGTTCCGAAAGAACCCCAATCAGGTGTTGTACACGTTGATGTTGGAAAATAATTTATCACTAAACATGACTTTATGTTACATGAAAATATGCTTCAATGGGTCCGTATAGAAGCTTTCAAATTAGGTTTTGGGATAGTTATCGGGATGTCAGATTCTGGCTC